ATTCGTAGGACCAGTAGTTTGGGCTGGTTGTTCCCCTACCAGGGGTGGACCTGGATACGAGCTTGGTGGTCCCATTGGCGGGGATCCCTGGAAGCCTTGAGGGGGTGGGCCAGCGTATCCTTGAGGGGGTGGACCGGTTTGTGGGTACGGGTTCTGATAAGGTGGAGGAGCTTGGCCAACAGGCTGTAGAGGCACGCCCTGGGGTTCAGGAGCTGTGGTGACTGTTGTGGTGGTTATCGTTGAAGGAGCCCCTCTGATAACCACTCCTCGTCTGTTCTTTTTAGTGCAGTACACTATGATGACGATTACAGCAACGATGACTGCGATGCCAGTGATGATTCCAATGATCACACCGACTGAAACTGAAATATATGTGCATTGCTTATATACATCGACGAACCCACTAAACAATTAATCGGAGCACAATATGTAGTAGTCTAAAGAGTTCAATTTCGAATATTTTCGTGTTATGGATCTAAGTCGAGTCTAAGAGGAAACAAAAGGATTATGCTCCTTTGTTCTCCCATAGCCATGTCTTCAAATCACTTGTGCGAGAACATTCAATCGAAATAACGAAAGTGTCACTATAACGAAGAAGTAGTCTAAAGTATCCAATTCCGGATATTTTTGGTGGAATCTACTACGACGGGATTATATAACAGAGATAGACAATTCTGAGAACTTATAATTACATTGTATATTCTACCCTAGTTTACTTTGAAAGCAAGTGGTCAGCGTTTATTTGATGTGACGTCATTTATACCCCAGGAAAAGTGAGCTTTCGCCGCAGCTGCTTTTTGCTTCACTACAGCTAAATTACCACTATACAGCTAGTTACGTAAGACTGCTGATCATCTCACGCAGATGCTGACCGTGCGCATAAAAGTGAAGAGCATATAACACTCGATTTTTTCTGTGGCACGTGCATCTCTGTACACTTTGAATCGACAAACTGCATGCTCACCAACGTTGTAGACCCTTCTCTCGAAGATGCAGATTTCTGTATAGAGATAAACAGATCGAAAATTTGGTAAATACACAAGATAATTAAGGTAAGATCGCAATGGAATGTGGGATACTATAGAAAATGATAAAATAATGACTAAAACTCACTGAATTTGTAACTAGTGACTCAGCTTCTTCAGATTAAGTATGATGAAAGACCACGATGTTAAAGCACAGYCTTACCTACTGCTTTTTGTTATATAGATACATTCGCAGGACCAGTAGTTTGGGCTGGTTGTTCCCCTACCAGGGGCGGACCTGGATA